TGTACTCTTCAATAGTAAGGACCAAGTCCTCTTTATTGAGAGTGAAGCAATTGTACCCGGGATTCCAGAATTGAATTAGGGCTCGAAGTAAGTCATCATTAACTTCAACATAGAGCAAATATGGGATGTCTCCGTAAGTCTGATAAAACTGCAACTTTTTGTTTGAGTCCCAACTTTCCCAAATGCTTCGCAAATCTTGCATATCATTTCTTTTTAGCGAAACTGGAGCATAACTGGCCAAGTCAGATACATAGTCATCCTGCAGACTGTCTCTTCCTTGTCTTTGTAAGTCCTCAGCCCACTGTCTTACTTCTAAGTTTAGAACTATTTGATTTGAACATTTTTTATCCATGGATGAAGGTTTTCCAATGAGACAATTAACACGAGGATCAATGCCTTTTATCCTGTATGATGCTATGCAAACAGAAAAAATAAAGAACACACAAAAATAAATGAATTAGTTTTCATAAATAAAAAAATTTAATAATAATGTCTACCTAAATATCCTTATTTAAACATGCTTTCTTCATATTTTAAATAATTTAAATTCACATGAAATTTAATCAGTAAGAAAATAAATAAGTTAGAATTCATTTCTCCTGTGTGTACACCTATTTTGGACAAAATTTCGGCATGGCTTCAGATCGGAAGAGTTTCTAGGGTTTATTATATGCAAGGTTTCAGATCTAAGAATAAAGGTACCCGAATTGTCCTTGTTAGTGCCCCCTTGGGCTATTAACCCTCAATCCTAGTCCATCACAGACTAAAGTGGATCGAGTTTAATTCGAGGGAATACACTTCTCTATGCCTGACACGGAGAATAAATTCTCACGAAGACATAGAGCATATGAACCCCGAAAGTTACTTGCTAGGTCTGACACGGAGAATAAATTCTCACGAAGACGTCGCTTTCACTCCCACTTAAAAGGGACTAACTCAATTATAGAGCTTTATGTTATGCAATGCAAGTGTTGTGTGTGAGGAGAAATGTTCAAACCTCTGACAGAAAAATAAATAATGAAATAAAATACTTACAAGTAAAATGAAATAAAAATATAAAGTGTATAAAAAATTTGAAAAGAAAGAATTATAAATTAAATATATGAATTTTTAATTTATAATTAATAGAGACAATTTATAATTGATTTTAAAAGTTTGACGGTCCCCAGCGGAGTCGCCAAGCTGTCGTAACTGGTTTTCGTCCGGAGACGAATTTTTTTTTACTCGGCAAGAAAAGTGATGTGAATAAATGGATTTTAAAATAATTTGGGAGTCGCCATCGGCCTTTTGGGTCAGGTAGGTCGAATACCTAAAAATCATCTTTTAAAAGAGTTTTTAAAAAAACATCAATTAAAAGATAAACTGATCTGCGTTTTAACCAAAAATTCATTCTTTTTAATAATAAAAAGGGATTCGTGGTCGGTTACGTTTAGGGAAGGATTAACACCCCTACAACGCCCAAAATTGGTACTTTTTAATTATAAATTGTCTCTATTATTAAAAATTCAAAATATATTTAATTTATAATCCTATTTAATTCAAATATTTTTAAGAAAATATATTAAACATAAATAAGATATTTACGTATTTAGAAATATCAGAAAAGGACTTCTAGGTGCCTTAAGAATGCTCTTTTCTTCGATATTAATAAATATTATAATAATTTAAATAAAATTTAAATTATAATTTTTTTATAATATTTAATTTTAAAATACCAGAATAGGACATCCAGTTGTATTAAGACTGCCCTTTTCTTTGATATTGAAAAATAAATAAATATTAAAATATGATAAAAAAATAATTTATGTAAAATCAAATTAAGATTTAATATAAATTATTATTGATTATATATATTTATATAATAATAATAAATATAATATTTAAATATAAACAAGTGAAATTAAAACATAAATAAATAATAATAAAAATAAAATTAGAACTATATATTTAAAAAAAGTAAAACTTTATAATGAATGAAAATATTTAAAATTAGTGACTAAATTATAATCTAATAAAACTAAATACCTAATTCGTAATTAATTATTTAAAATTACAGGGATTGAACATGTTATTTTACTCATTTATTAATTTGGTGACTAAAATAAAATTATATAAAATTCATATATCAAATTAAAATAAATTAAAAAATGTACTCGGGATTAAAAAATTAATTATTAAAACTAATGGACTAAATAAGTATTTTATCTAAAATATTTATAATTACGGTTAATGGCTAAAATATAAATAAATAAAATGTAGAGACCAAATTAAAAGGATCATAAATTTGATTTAATGACTAATATGTAAAACATATAAAATAGAGGGACTACGGACAGGGTTTAACATTTAAAAATTACACAAATAGCCCTCCCCAAAACGACGTCGTTCGGGAAGGGCTATTTAAGCTCGAAACGGCTGGCCCTTCGGGCCAGCTCTTTCATTTCTCAATTTCTCTCCTCTCTCTCGTCTCTCTCTAGCTTCCCTCATCATAGGGAAGCCGGCTACCGGGCGGCAGCCGTCTGCCGTCGTAATTCTCACCGCCGGCCACCGCATCCGGTGGCCGGAAAATTTTATTTTTATTCCACAACGTAGATCGGACCGTCCTAATGAAGGTTCCGGTGTTCCTTTCTCTTAAATATCTCCCGATCGGAGAAAATCTAGGAAAATACCTTCGGTTTTCGAAGGTTTTTGGTGACGTTTGGAGGCCGGTGGTGACTCCGATCAAGGCGTTGTCTTCCCCGGTAAGTTTCTCTCTGTCTTCTCCTTGCTTATTTTGGTATTTGTGGTTGCTGGTTTGTTCGTTTTTTCTCTTGTTGTTTTTTTTTCTTTTTTTCTTCTCTCTCTGTTGGTTGCTGTGGTTTTCTTCTCTCTGTTTTTTTTTCTTTTCAGGTTGTCAATGGCTTTATAGCCATCCCCGGTGTGGCTATCGGATCGGGTAAAAGAGTGGAGTCTGGTGAGTCACCGGACTTCCAGTGGTGACTCACCGTTGGGGCGACATGTGTGCGGCTGGAGTAGCGCTTCTGGAAGTTTCCGACGAGACGTGGCAGCGATGGAGATGGTGGGAGTAGCTGCGGCGGCCGCGTGGCCCTAGGGTATCATCACCCTAGGGTTTGGGTTGGATGAGTGTGGGCCGTTGGATCTCTCAGATCCAACGGCTGTGATGATGAGGCGGCTAGGGTTAGAGATCAAACCCTAATCTAGTTTTAGAGTTTAGTTGGGCCATCTGGATTTGTAATTGGGCCGGATAATCTAGGCCTGGTGTAATAATAATAATATTAATAAAAATAATATTAATAATAATATTAATAATAATAATAATAATATAAATAATATTAAAAAAATGAAGAAAAAAATGAGTATCTTCACCGATAATACCAAGTATAAGGCCAAACTTGCATGGATTTGATCCTGAAGATGTTAGCAGCATTAGGGCTCAAAAGAAGTGTATGAAGAATGGATCTATGGAACCGTATACATAACGTCTGCATTAACAGTGATGATAAAGAAGTTGAAGCAGATGATAGAACTATTTTCTTAACATTCTCGAAAGGATACTCGGTTTCAGAGGACAAAGTGAAAAACTTCTTCACCAGGAGGTTTGGGGAGATATTCCAGGGAATAGAGATGGGAGCAGCCTCTATATGCAAAGCTGGTGTTGGTAACAGGTTCCACACTCCACATCATTCTCAATGGTAACCCCAAAGCCAAGTTCTCTATCAATGGAAAGCACGTTTGGGCTCGAAAGTTTGTTCGCAAGTCCCCCCCACCAAGCCTCACCATCGAACACATGTTTCAACCATTTAATTATTTTTTGTTTGATAATAATAATTTATGTCCTTATTTATTTGTTAGACCAATTATTTTGATATTTCTATTTCTTACTTTCATAGAAGCGTATTTTATTATTACAAGTATTTATCGTATTAAAAAATTATTTTAATGTATGTTATAAAACTCTTCCACAACACAATCCCGTTACTCGTTTATTTTAATAAGATTGTAATATTTAAAAACATGTTACAATAATGTCATGGATTATAATCTCATCATTATCATTATCATCAGTTAATATAGAATCAGTTGGACCACTGATTCTTAATCCAACCAACTAGATTCCACTTTTTGCCTACAATATTATCAATTATAAACCTAGATTTGTATGAACCCGTATCATTTACAACAAACTAAATGGTCCTGTGACAGCAAACAAAATGGTCCCGTGGTCAGTAAAAATCAACTTCTTTGCTTTTGACTAATGACACTTTTATGAACTGCAACGAGTGACTAATGACTCTTTTATGAACTACAAAGTATACCAATTTGACAAAAATACAAACCTCTAACCAAGGGTCATAGCGACCGCTTAATGAGGTCATGAAGAGAGAACAATCTCGGCACTTATCAACACAATGATGAGCCATTCCAGGAAATCTGATTTCCTATTTTGAAGAATTTCTTGAAGAAACCTAATGTTGTGCTGCAAAAGCAGTAAGAAAGGCTTTAGGTTATGTACAATATCCAGGAAAAAACGAATATCATTGACTTCGCTTTGCACATCTGTGCTTCATATTGAATTCTCCTGTAAAAAGAACATTTCTAAGAGAGCAAATGCCATACCTCAACGAACTTCAGCTTGAAACAAGACTTGCAAATCTTTGAGTTAATTCAAATTCATCTCGTAGAAATTCCCAAATTATTGCGTATTTGGCATCCTTCCAAGCGATATCTGATCTGTTAAAAACCCAGAAAAAAAACGCATGAGCTAAATTGCAAACACCCCAAAATAGGCATTCCTATTCGTATTCTTATGCCATAATGAGATAAATTCAAAAAACAGATGATGTCAAATTAATTTGGAAGCAGTAGCCACAAAGAAAGTTCTATGCTCATGATTACATACTGGGGATCGGTACCTTCTCCGTAATGGTAAAAAATTACCTCTCGAAATGTCCGAGCTTAAGAATTACATCAGCAAGATTAGAGTTGGCCTTTCCCACTATCTGAAAAAGTTTTTTGCTATCCATGGTAAATGTTCCTGTTTTTTCCATCCCACGATTTATGTCGGTAAATTCCGCAACCATCCATCAACCTAAGGAAAAAGTTGACACGTCAAGATCAAGCTAAATGTTTAGAAAGTCTACATTGGAAATCAAATACTACACACCTGGCGCACATAGTAATCAAGAGCAATACTTTGACCAAGAACACTTCCAATGGTACGGATTCCATCAATATTCAAGAACTGCAATATTCAAGAACTGCAGCATGATGTAATCCAATCCACCTTGCATCCATGTGTTCAGAGTAGGCATCTCTCTTACCTCATACTCTGCAATGTCATAACACATCAAAGAGAAAAAACAATTAAACAAAAACTCCTTTATTGCAGTACCTTCTGCATTTATTTGTTCCTTATGAAAGCAATGGATCTAATCTCTAATAACAATTAACTGGGCATAGTGTGAAGAATGATCTAACCCAAATATGTTCAGAAAAAAAAAACTGAATGATAAACACAACATCAAATGAATGAGTTATTAAGAAGAAATCCAATGAAAATGAAAGCAATATACAAGGTTGATACCCAAACTATCTCAATTCCCATCAAAACCCATTTAACATGCTTGTAACTCGTGTGCATGTGTTGAAACATGTATACGAGAAACCAAAATGTATCTGGTGAATGCAAGCATGGGACATGCATAGCCAGGAGAGAAAGAAACTGGCAAGAAATCCAGTTTACAGAATATATATATATATATATGTATACACATTATTTTTAAAAACAAGAATTTTATGAACTCACCATCCTTTCGCATTTCAGGAAGCAATCCTGATGCATGTTTTTCAACAATTTTAAGATACTGATCCACATCACATTCACGAACATTGAACATCACGATGGAACCATACTGGAATACCACCATAAAACAGCAGTCACTTCCACTTATGAAAACACCAGGACCCTGAAACAAGGAAGTTGTCAATTCAACCACATACTTTACTAGATTACTCATACATGACAATCTAATATATATATATGAAAAGAGTCTAGAGAGTAGAGATTACTAAAATGCATGATTAGACTGATTGAGCCATTGCTTTCTAGAAAAAAAAATAGTCAAGAGTATGGAAATGCCTCATACAATGATGATCAAATCTCACATCTATTCGGAATTTTCATGCCTATTAAAATCTATCCAGAAACATTTTGACATAGAACTGTTTATAGGATGCAAACCAGATATTGTATCTGTTCCTCCAGCTGAAATTCGGTAAATTAATCTGTAAATGAAACTCAGAAGGCTTGGAGATATACGTCACTTAACTCAATTCCCAAGGGAGAGAGAAAGGGGGAATAGAACAAATTAGCGGCACACAGATGAATTGACACTGACAAATCTCAATTAAATCTGGTTTACAGCAAGAGCAAACATCATTTTTAACCGTTTAAACTAATGCATGCATTAATAATTAAGATGTTCCTTATTCTTCAACTTTTCCAATATTTCATAGCTAAGACAAATGATATTAATAAGTTCTAGGTTTATAACACTAACTAAACACTTTTCAATTTTACTCGCAATATCCCCAAATAAGTTATCCCTATAAGAAAATGGAAAAAGCTTTTCACCAACTTCCAGCATAGCGAAACCAACAGCGTCCTAACCCAACCTGAATACCTAATACATAAACAGTTAAAACCCTCTAAATAAAATGACACTCGCAACAATACATAGCAAAACCAAACTCCTCTCTTCATTGTTTTAAAGAAACCACCGGAACAACCAACTCTCAAGTTCAAGTGTTAAAATTCAATAAGCATAAACATAATCCCATTCCGAGGTTCATTGTCGGTTCATAGGCAGTTTCCACTTACCACCAATTTAAACTCCCTATCTTTTCCTAATTATCTTCTTTTTCCCACTGATAATAACAGTTATGTGAATGAAATAAATGAATAATACATAAGAAATAAAGTGACACCAGTGATTAGAAGTCATTTAAGAAGAAACTATCGTCATAAAACATAGTTGTAGTTGATTAGAGTAAGTGTTCTTAGCTCTCAACAGCAAAATAAATTTGTCAAAATCGACTTTCAGGAGAGCTAGCAAGATCACCAAACTTAAGAACTACATAATTAGTCATTCGTGATGTCGGCGGTATAAAATTCTGCTTGTTCTGCTCCACCAGTCCTGTCAAATCCACACTACACCCGAAAAGGAAAAAGTTCATTTAATTAAAGCGTATAATATGCTTTAAGCATCAGAATGCAGAAGTTCTAATATTTTCCCCAATAGACAACGCCAAAAATCAAAGCTTTTGCGAACAAGGTGGTTCTAATGATGTTCCACTGGCCACTAAAAACCAATAGTTAATCGTAAAAAAAATTACAATAACCTGGTGGAGAAAAAATAGGCTCGAACTGGAATTGAGCGTTTAGTGACTTCTTCCACCGCTCCATCGCCGACTTCCGAGGAAGAAACCGCCTCGTTCCAATCAACCGCCATTTCCGGCTGCGGGGTCGGGAACGAGGAAATGCATCTGGAGGCGATACTTCGGCTGGCGTTGCCGAAGCCGCCGCCGTTGAAGGTCCATAGGATGATGGTGGAGGGTGATGACGTGGCGGTTAAGCGTAGGGTTTTAGAGGGGGTGAAGAAGAAAGAGGAAGATCGGGGTCTAGGGAGAGGGGAAGAGAGAGATAGTAAGAGTATGGCAGCGTTTGGGTGCTGGTTGTACGGACGGGGAAAGAAGGGAGTTGGCGAATTGAGCGCCACATTTCTTTTTCCTTTAGACGAACAGGCCGTTCCAATTCTGGTTTTGCCATTTTATCATGCCAGCATCACTTTATAAACCTCTTAATAATTTGTTTTATTTTTAAAATTTGAAGTTAATTTATTTGATTGTTTTTCATATGACCCTCTTAATAATTGAATTGGATTTCAATTTTTACATGAATTAGATAAAAATGAACACCAAATATTAAGTTTTTTAGTAGACTTTTCTAATTATTCTAATGAGTTAAGTTTTATTATTATTTAATTATATGATTCTATTTTATTGAATGAATAAATTAGATTTTAAAAAAAATTGTGCATGAATATATATCCTTATAATCTTACACTATAAATCAAATATAAATTAGTCAAAAGGAAATTACAACCAACGCCTTAATCTATGTCCTATTAGAAAACGTTGGACAGAAATGTCCAACACGCTTAAAAAAATTGTAATTCCCCATTTTTAATTAAACAGCAAATAAGGTATTAATATAAATTAATTTATTAATATAACTTTGAAAATGGAAGCCCAAAACAAATCTCGGCTTAATGATATTGATCATTAAAGCACAAACCATTCTTTACAGCAGACCATATGCACATGCAAGATGGACAAACATTAATATATACATAAACATATATTTGATTAGTCTAGACTGCTTACAGGTGGTAGTATATGTTTTGAAGACTCTTAATTATTTAATAATAAAAGTTTAAATATTTGATAATAAAAGTTTAAATACTCTGCAATCTCTGGCACTTAAACTTAGGATGTCTAAGTATAATAATACTAATTCTTTTAACCACAAAGGTAACATGGTTTGTGCACAAACATTGATATATTTAAAACAAAAGAACTGTGAAATTTTGATTTTATTTAACAGGGGCAACCCTTGTTTACAAAAATAAAGAAGATTTATACATATGAAAGAATTAAATCTTTGGTTCAAATTGATTATATCCCCGAATCTTATAAAAAAAATGAATATCATCTTAAAACTGAGTTGGTTTAGAGATGTGGATTGGGTTGGTCCTTCCGCTCCAAGAATGAGAAGGGGGAAATGAACATGACTTGCATCTCAGAATCGAATCCCTTGCAGCTTATGATTTGAGTCAAGGGAAAAATGGGTTTATATATTTTCAGATTTACAATCATCTCCGGTCCCAGGTTATTTACAAGAGACAAATGACGGTGTAGAAGAAAAATTATATACAAGAGATCAATGAATGTAAGAATTGAAGTGAAGGCAGCAAATGAAGGATACATATGCAGTTAGTTATTTACATGACAAACTGGCAATCGTTTCACTCCTTACCTTGAACTTCGGTGTCATGTGCATTGGGATCAGTGCAGTTATTTTCTGTAGCCTGTGTCTTTCTTCTGGGCTTCGATATTCTGATCCTCACTAGAGGACTTCCCATCAGAGTTACTGATCTTTCCCTGTTTTGTTCAATCAGTAGTATAAACAATCTCAGCAATCATACCGACTTCAACTTCAAAAGTAAATCATTATGAACTTAGTAAAGTAAAGCATACTTAATACCAACCAAATTTTGTCAGAAAATACTAACAGTGTCAATGATTAGACTAAACGTTTTAAATAAAAAAAAATAAAGAGAACTTAATTTCTAACTTTTGAAGTACACATACTAAATCTCAAACTCTACCAAAGTACAGGGACTGACAACAGATTTTGAAGAACAAACTACAGTTAAAATGTAAAGGACAAAAATATTTCTCTAGATTGATTGTTTCTCAGTTGCTACGTTAGATTCTTTATTTTTGTTTGTCTCCAACATCTGCGTCCAATATAATTTCAGATATGAATATGGAGATATGATCATACAGATAAACAATTTTTTTATATAAAAAAACTGAACATACTTGTATCAAGCTCATACTCTCATCTGAATTTCCAGTAACATAGCTTAGTTGTGCCAATTGTTAAGCCACCACAGCAGTTTAATAAAGCAGAATAATCATCTGATCATCCACAACTTCTAAGAACATAAAAGTGTGTGAAAAGTAACCTTGATCATGTCACGCAAGTTGGCTACAAATGGTCGAGCAAGTAGATTGATCTTGCTGGCGGATATCTCTAGCTTCTTGCGCAGTGGTGAATCTGGCCGAGATGATCTACCAGCCAATACTTGTTAGCGGGAGATCACTTCAAAAGCATGATGAGCTCAAAAAGAAAACAGAGGCTCATAATATATTTTAGTGTAAATAATGGGCTGAAAATTAAAGCTTTTTTCTTTTCTTTCTTTCTGTTCTTTGTTAAGTTGTTGGAAAGAGGGTGGGTAATGAAAAAGGGAAACAAAAACTACTAACGCAATGGAAAGACCAAAGCTTTTGAAAGTTGTTACCAAAAAATTAGGAAAGAGAGATACCCCTACCCGCAACATATACGCACATCAAGCCAATAGAATGTAAATTTCAGACTCTGGTTTTTAATTCAATTGGTTGAATCAGATGATTCAATCGATCATTTTTGGGAATTTTTAAAACATAGATTATTAAAAATTAATTAGAATTTTCAAAAATTAAGGAAAATAAAATAAAACCCCAAACAGTTAGGAAATTTTATATTTACAAAAAGCAAAAGATGAACATGAACCAAAATATAATGGAAAAGCCTGATTTTTGTGTTTTAAAAAAATTTAAAAAAAAAATCACTTGTACCGGTTTTGCTAGTTTTTAACCGGTTTCAGGCGGTTCCCTAATTTTTTTAGTTCAACTATAGAGAGCCGGCCAATCCGGTCTGGATTTTTTATCCGCAACAAAATGTTTTTTAATATTTGAACTTGAGTGTCAACCACACACCGTGGAGAAAGAGAAGGTTGATTTTTACTTTTCCTAGACTGGAACTGTAAGGTAGCCTCTAACATTGATTCTGCCAGTACCACTCTTTTCTCCATTTCATCAAGTTTAGTAATGGCCTCTTCATATTTTTCCTGCATTAACGTAAACGTTGACTCCAAAAGCAGAGATTGGACGAAGAAAAATGCATATTATATTTGCTAACTTTTCTCCATAAAAATGTTATAACTCAAAACAATGTTAGTTTCCTCAGCAATGTAAGTTTTGATGGGAAGTTTATTGTGGAGAAAAAAAAGATAACTTTTGTACTTAGTAAAAGATGATTTGTTTATAGTTTGAAACCATTGACATAAAGCAAAATGAAATACTATTGCTAATATTCAGGATTGAAGAGAAAAATTTAGAAAATATTTACCGACAAAATTACATTAAAAAACAGGAATTTTTATCGCACTGTGCACCTGAAGCACTTCAACAGAATATCTTTGTCCAGCTGCATCTTGTTCAGCGAACATGCGAGCATCTTCTGTTTCCTTTTGATCTTGCTCCACACGCATTAAAACCTATGAAATTAGTAACAGATTTCATTATCATTGAGACTGTATATCAAGAGAAGAAGATGATCTTCATACTCTTGAACACGAGGAAAATAAATCAACCTGAAGCATTCCATTTTCTTGTTCAAGCTTCTGAGAGAGTGCCTCACGAAGCTCGTCAACTTCTTGCTCTAGTTGCTCCACCTAAAGATGAAAAGCAGATATTCAGTACACAATTTATTCATCTGAAGAAAACAACTAGCAACTTTCAAGTCAGAAAAATACTCTCATCAAAACATATAGGTATGATTCTGGCATGAGTCATGAAAACCAGAAACACAGATTTCTTAGACGGTTGAGGCAATAGCATTAATCAAATTGTATATTAAAGTAGCTAGAGATAGAATGCACGTTGAGAATCTAACATGAAATTTCATGAAGATGCCCAAGGAGCCAGGTAAAAGCAATAAAAGCAAGCAAAATATGTTGCATGATGGGAATGTGTGAATGACATTGTTTACTAATTATATCAAGAACAAATTAGTAGTTGACTGTAAATTTTAGCAAATTGAACAATAATTAAAGAATTATATTAATGTTAACTGAACTGTCAATATTAAAGATATTCCTGTTTACCCTAGCACTTAATTGGCGTCGGTTGTCCTGCTTAACCATCTCCATCAATGCCGTCTCCAGCGCCTCAGACCTGACACAAGTGAGGAAATCAGAGTCATATTTTCCATGGGATTTTTAGGCATAAGATAGAAGATTATTTCAAATTAAATCACACATAAATTCAAGCATAAAATGCTATTAAATATTTGGATATATCCAATTTATAAAACATTAGGGCACAGCAAAGATATCAATCGTTATAAAAGAGGTAAGAGCAAGTGAGTAACAGATCTTCAAACTACGAACATAAGTACATTAAATTATTAACCTGAAGACAGCTGAACTTTTCTCTTCCAGCAACCTGCACAACCGAGCCTTTAATCCTACAGCCTGCGTGTGATTGTTTATAATAAATTAAGACCGAAACATCATAAAACAGCACAACAGAATCTCCTGCATGAACATAAGGCAGCAAAATACATTTTTGAGTATGATGTAGCTTACTGCCTCCTCAACTTGCCCAATGAAGATAAATCAGTAGTAATCAGACAAATACCATACCCTATAAACATTTTGTTTGGTCCGTAATGAAATATCATATCGATTAAGAGGAGAAACTATACACTACCTGCTGTTGAAGATCTGGAACAGGATTCGGCTTAGCATCTCCTGCCGAACTACTAAGAACTTCATCCACATTAATTGAATCAGAATCTGTACGAGAGAAATTCTCATTAGTTTTTTAATCAACCAGTTGTGTTATTTGTTTCTGTAAGCAGCAAGTTAGGATCATGCTTAAAACCATATAACTTAGATGCCAGGCCCTGAGATTTCTTCCAAATTTGAAGCCCCCTTATTCTTTCATCAACTGCAGCTTTTACATATGACCGATGCTTCTCTCTTAACTCACATAATGCTTGTTCATTTACATTTTGGTAACCCATACAAGCTGTCAATACGAGTTGACTACTGTCAAATGTTGAGCTAACCAATGATTGTAGCAAAGTAACTGCATCTCCCGCATCCTTAGTTGTAAGTAGTGCAGGGCCTGTAAAATAATTAGGTTACATTTTGTAGATTAAAACAGTAATTCAGTCACAATTTTAAGGCTTCAATTACCCAAAAGAAATCATAAAATTCCAAATTCTATTGTCTTTTACCCCATACCATAAAACTCTATAAGAGCAAGTGCTGTCCTAAAAAGCATAACACGATTTCCTTCAAACAAGAACACATCCCAGATTCGAAGCACTGTAATGAGGACAAATCCATCAGGAATCTTGTAAATAAGCATTGGTTATTCCAATTATTAATAAGTAGTAAAACATCAGTAAAATGACAACAAAGGCACCCATTAAATATTGCTAAAGGACATGGCATGGAACCTGACCACTTTCCCATGGAAGCATGTTCATAAAAATGGAAAGGAACCACGGTGCAGTAACCCAAGCCACTTGAACTCCCAGGTGATCTAGATGATTGACTGCAATAAGCATAAATTGTAATCATAAACTGCCTGCCCAGAAAACATAATGTAAAGAGAACATCTGAAAAAATTGAAACACAACAAAGAACAAATATTGAAAAGACACACCAAATTTTGGAAATCTCTCAAGCACCAACTCCTCAAAAACAAGTTGGTCAACCTAACAAAAGGTCACAATGTTACTAAGATAGATCTAGCATAATTATTTCATCATCGACTTTAAGAATCTTATTTAGGAGAAGCAGATAGTATAAACCAATCAACAAAGAGAAAAAGGAGCAATGCAAAAATATTTACCTGAGACTCAATCATTTCCTCTGAGAAATAGCCATCAAAATACTCATCAATAATTCCCATCAAAGTCCTGAAGTATATACCACAACTTGAAGAATATAAAACCAACTGTGCACTTAATTTTAAAAATTAAATGATATGCTTGCAATTAAAAGTAGAGAACCTGCACCAAATAAACAAGACAAGAAAACATGCAAATAATAGGGATAACAAAAACTATAATGCTCCAGCAACAAAATATGATCTGCTCTGTAACCTTAAGAAAAATGAATTTCACAAAACAATATATACTGGATTTGCAAGGAATTTTCACATCCGAGTCTCTCTACCTACCAGAATGCATTTTCTTCAGGCATCAAAAGGAGTAACAAGGCAGCAAAGAAATTCATGGCCTGCATGAGAAAACACTTAAACCAAAAAACCAAAACACTGCAACCACGATCATAGCTAACATATTTCTGAACCTAGTACCTGGCAGTATCCCACCGAGGGGTTATGTCGAGCATAGGCTGTAAGTAACCGTCTCAAAGCATTTCTACCATCACCATCCAGAGCGGGATGACCAGGGAATGATGGCCTGCAGAGAAACACTTAAACCAAAAAACCAAAACACTGCAACCACGATCATAGCTAACATATTTCTGAACCTAGTACCTGGCAGTATCCCACCGAGGGGTTATGTCGCATAGGCTGTAAGTAACCGTCTCAAAGCATTTCTACCATCACCATCCAGAGCGGGATGACCAGGGAATGTTCGCGGCAAATCCTGTTTTTAGAACCACCAATTCCGAATCTCAAACTAATAACACCAAAAAAAGGTAGCACCTACTGCCAGAAAACTAATATGTAATTCAAATTCAAACTGCACAGGGAACAACCTTCTCAATCTGCTCCTTCCATTTCTCATGCCCACATATGGACTTGGTGGTTAAACCCTTACTATCTGACTGGAAGCTCTCTTGATTGGTGTTATTGGCAGCGCTAGTTTCATTAGCAAGCAGATCCTGGTAGTAGTTCTCTACTCGGCGTGTCCTTACACCAACAAAGGCTTGCCAAATCTGTAATGACCAAGATCATATGAGAGAGAGATAAAGAGAAAGAGAGAGAGAGAGAGAGAGGATTATCAAATTCATACCTCTCCCCTAAGAGTCATCGGTACTCCACCACGAACGAGAACTTCCAACTCTTCTTTCCAGGGATGCAAAGATTTTGTAGAAGCTGCACTTGGAGCAGCGCCTCTTATGGGGTCTATGCTGTCAATTGAAGGGGCATCCTGATGATGGTCAGCATCATAAAATTCATCCTCAGAATCCTCCTCTGATGCTCCTCTTGTAACTCTAGCATCTTCTACAGGAGATAATGGTTTTGCTTGACCGGTTTCTTGCTCTTCTTTTGATAAACTACCTTTCTTATTTACACGATCACTCATCATATCTTCAATGGCCCAAAGGGATGGTCTAATTTCAGTCCATATTTTGGTCCGGTGATCTCTTTTCTCAGGTGTATACAGCACCTTCTCTTTTTCTGTATCATCATCCTCGGATAGACTATCAGAACCAGACTTATTTTTGTGTAAATTGTCTCTGTCTCCCTTTTGTGATTCACTGTTCCCATCCTCTGGAACGTCAATGTGTGAGACCTGCTTTCCTTCCTCCAAGGAATTGTCGTTGATAGGCAGTCCAGCAGACTCTGCTTGACGTTCCAAGAAATCATTCCACCTACATGATCTTTCCTCCTCTTCTTCCTAAAGTCATAAAGCCCTTTATTAATCCTAGTTGAAATTACTTTGATCCAAATTCAATTACCAAAAAACTAGTCAAAAAGACTAAATCAAAGTTCTGACTTCAGAGTTTGTAATACTTTAGGACCCATAAGGCCATAACGATGTGGAAGAGAGAGAGGTTGGAAAAGATTCAATATTAACCAAGATACATGAGTTGGAAACAAATGGAAATAAAATCAGCAGAAAGAACGCAATGAGCTTAAAACAAAAAGCAATAAACGCAGTAACAGTCAAGAAAAATACCTTGTAGATATTAGCATATTCTAGGTATCTTTGTACAAGCTGAGGTCTCACAGAAAATCCATATAAATCCCTATCAACAATAAAAGCTTTAATAACCCCCCAAAAGTTCAACAAGCATTCAACTTAACAGAAGATTACTATTCTTCCATAAAATAAAAATAATGATAAAAATCAGCAGATTATTCCACACAGAGAAAAAACTTAAAAGAAAGATTGTTATTTCCACAACATTCTAAGGAAAACGTTACTTAAACTTGCATTAAGCCTCCAAAGCATTGCTTGCCGAGTTGCCCTATTAACCAAAACTTATCAAATTCAAAACGATACAACTCACTGCAAAACAAAACCTATAGCAAAAAATAAGCAAAAGCATCAAACTAAAAGCTAAATGTAAGTTAATCAATAAATAACTCCAATTTACCCGCAATCGACTTCTAGACATTGCCTACTTACGGCACGAAATAGTCTACTTTCCATTATCACTAGTTTCCAATCAATTTACAGAAAATAAAACCAGGTTTCATGAAGGCTTTTCTCAATGAAAGATCACAAACTCTAAAAACGTTTACCCGAATAAAAAACAATAAATTAAATCGCTAGCAACAAGATAGAAAATTCGTCATTTACCAAACCAAATTGTGATGGAATTCAATAAGATCGTCAAAACTAAAAAAAAAGAAGCATGAAAAAGGAAAATTCAATCACAATCGAGCTTGAATTTACCTGAAATCGGCACCCGAAGATTGCCGAGTTGCAGTAGAAAACACCATGTGCTCATATTTTCCCTCGATTTTTGCAAAATAATTAAATCGCATTTTGCATTATCAAATCCAAATCAATAATCACGGGTTAAAAAGGGGAATAAAAAAGGTCAAAATATTTTCACTAAAAACAAGGGAGGGGAAAAAGGGAATCCGATCGTAACTGTCATAGGTCGAGAAAGAATTCGACGGGACACGTGGCGACAGAAGCGTACCTATTGTGTTCGGCTTTAATGGTGGTGGTTGTTGCAGGGGTAGTGGCGGGGGATGTCATTTGTTGCAGTGATGATGTGGATGGATATGATTGGTCTGTGAGATCTCCAGGATGACAACGTCGGGTAAGAGGATCCTTCGGAGAGTTTTGTGCTGCGTTTGCCTGAATTTCTGCAACGGAAGGGAAGAATCGAAGATAAAATGAAGGAGAGAAAGGGAAACAAGAGAAGGAGGGAGAACGCAGGGAAAGACGGGCATGCGCATGCAAAAAAGGGAAGAGTTTGCGTCACGTCATTACCACGTGAATGATTTCTTAAACACCGTGATAAATGATCGGTTGGATTTTGATTTTCTATTTAAATCATTGCATCGAATTATTTACTTATTTTATTTTTTTAGAAAGTATTGTTTATACTAATCAATAGATATTTAAAAAAAATAAGAAAATGTAAAATTGAATTCATACCAATTTCAGCTGATTTTTTTTTGGAAATTTATAGAAATAAATAGATTGATTCTCAATATAGCCGTTTAATTTTATGGATTTAATTTGATTTTTACAACAACGAATTTCAGTCAAATATAAAATAATAATTAATCAGTTTTTCGAAAAAAAAAATTAGATAATAAGTCTTAAAAATTCTTTGAATCAGATAAGCATAACGATAAGAACAAAAAGAAAAGTTGGAGCTTCAAATTAGTCAAACATGAAAGATTATTTAAAAATTATCAACTGAAAATTACTGTTATTATTTTAGAAATTGTTTGCGTTTACATTTCATTTTAGAATTTGTTTAACATCCGACTTGTTCATATAAAAATATATTCAGTGACAAATTGTATACAGCGTATAAATTTAGTTTTTCTATATAAAAATAGAAGCAATTCGTTTTATTAAGGAACAAAAAATATTAAAAAATATACGACTAGATTTAAAAACTAAACACATAATTAAGATATCATCTTATAATTATTTTTCATAATCATTTTTTATAAATAATTTAATTTAAAAATAATTATGACTTTAATTTGGAAATTTTAGATTTTAATTTAATTTGAAATTTGTAATCGCCATCGACTTTTGAGTTAGGTAGGTCGAATACCCAAAAACATTGTTCTAAAACAGTTTTAAGAAAAATCATTTTTAAGAAAAAAAATTGGTCTGCGTTTACTAAAGATTCATTTAAAAAAATGTTCGAGAGTCGATTACGCATGAGAAATGGTAAGCATCCCACAACGCCCAAAATTGACACCTCTCGATTATATGATGTCTAAAATAGTGAAATTTTACATCGAGCCTTAAATTTAAAATTACGATCTTTTTATTTCAATAAACAAAATTTTGAAAATAGTGAATTTATTTGTAAAATATTTGATTCTAAAAAATTTAATTCACTCGATTTTATTTAAAAATGATGCCCTTTTAATTCAAGAATTAACGAAAATCGTTATCCAATCATTTTGGACACAATCCCATTAATTCTTGATATAAAGATACATTGTCTTTGATTAAAAAAATGCGAAAAAATAAATGAAAGAGTAACGAATGTACCCATTGATTAAAATAAAATCAAGTTGAATGTTTACTTTATATAACATTTTATTTTAAATTTCATGTTTACTTTAAATTAAAGGCAGGAAAATAAAATCATTTTATTTTAAATTTCATGTTTACTTTTTATTTGAATGTTGTATCGAATCGAGCTGTTTCTATCAAGTTGTGTTATTCACACTCATTTTACGATAGATGTTTTTAAAAATACTCAAGTAAATAAAAAAATAAAAAATATTAGCAAATAATAAAAAATAAGCCTTTTATAATTATTTAAAATATTAATTTTAATAAAAATAAAATGTACCCATGTATACATATTTATTTATTTATAAAGCAAGCATAATAATAAGAAGAAGAAGTATACTTAGTAGTAATTATGTATATAATATTATATTATGCATATAATGCAAAAAAGGTAGATAATACATATAGTATAACAACATACACAGATGACATAATAACACAACTATTAAGAGGCAAAATGACAACCGATGATTGAATAGCAAGGAAGCTATAAATGACATACTCAAACCAAAAAACATAAAATAAATGAACATAACTATTTTAATGGACTAAATTGAATTAAAAAAAAGGGACTAACAAGCAATAAAACCATAAAGCTTTAAACATTAAACCCCAAGGTAGTGACCAAAATGAACAAAAAATTGAAGACCCCAAGCATAACATCCTATTATCATACAAAGGCAAACACAATGGATTAAAATGCAATAATCCATGGAAAGAGGCCAACTCAAGATTCATTCAAAATTAAAATGGCTTCATGTACAATATGACCAATGCATTATTAATACATGTGTACATAAAGCATAATTTTTTTGAAAAAGCTTATTTTGTTTATAACTCCAAACATAAACAAAGAGAAAGAAGGCTACAGTGCTTCGTCGGGAAAAAGAAAACCACCGCCTACCACTGTTCTCCGGTGGCCATTCGACGCCAAAATTCAAGGGAATATTCGTCTCGGCGCTAGGAACTCGGATATGGCCTTGGTTTCACAGAAAAACACTGCAATCTTCACAAATCGGCTGAAAACCGTCTGATCTTTTCACTCTCGATCTTCTCATCCGACAGTTGGATCGGTCCGATTTCAAAGTACGTTGGTCTCAAACCCGAGAGATGCTTTTCAACGATAAAATAGAAATAAAATCATAATTTTAATGAATAAAATGATAAAATAGAACAAAAAATCAATTTACTAAAACCTACGCCAGTTCCACATCAACATTAAAGTATTATATCATTTAATCATTAAGAAATTAACGTCATAATATTAAATTAAAAATTAAACCATAATAAATATTATAGTTACGTTAATTTAAAGTTTAATAACAAAGTTAATATTAAATTTATATTTTAATGATTTATGATATAATTTATTTTATATTTTGATTATTTTTTATGGAGGGTTTTAATTTCGGGAGAAATGGAACGGTGTGTTGAAAATTATAGATTGGATAAATAATAGAAGATTAAAAGTGAGTGGATAGAAAATAATTAATATTTTTGGGAAAGAGAAAGTAATTAAATTTTAGGATAAAATATATAAATGGAGTACTACTTTATTAAGTCTATCGACTATTAAAAATTATAAAATAGTCCCTTAACTAAGTGAGTTGTTTCCCTTAACTAAGTGAGTTGTTTAGCTGAGTTCCTCTGGTCGGGTATGAATCAAATTAAAATAATGAGTAATTAAATTTGGGAACATTTTAATTTAAAGATTTAAAGAGAGGGGAGTGGGCATTAGAGAATAGTAATAGAAAAAAATTAATGGGCCCAATAATAAGCCCAAGTGAGTTAATTTCGAGAAACATAGGATGAGGGGACTTGTTGGGTAATTAGGCCATTATTTAATGAGCGGCTAGAAACTTTTCCCATTATGTGGGAAAGTGCCGTGTGGTTATAAAGGGAGGGAGACTTGAAGCTCCATTGAGTTTTCCAAAATCTTGTTTTTCCTAGCATCCCAATATTTTTATTGTTGGAAATTGGAGCGACGTAGGATTGAGTTGATGGTTTCATTTTAATATTTTGGAGTCGTGAGGTAAAGATTTATCTTGGATTGTAAAGGTTAGAGGGGATGTTAGGGTTGAATAAGGTATGAAGAAGTCACATGATTTATATTTTATAATTTAATCGTTTTTGTTCTTTGGTTTAATGCTTGTCCATTCCAGGAAAAGAAATTGGGAACCATCAAAATCTAAAAGCAAAAGGAAAGGTTAGAGGTTGAAGAATGAGCCTTTCATCCATAACTTTTGTGTAAAGGTAATGAACTCTTGTTTTTTATGTTTCATGGGTTATAATTAGATAAAACGTGCAAAACACAAACCTTTCATAAGATAAGCATGAATGGAAGGGGTTATAAGACCCTAATAACATTTTAAGCTTTTGAAAAATTGAAAATCTAGGTTCAAGTACCGATACTGTTAGAACAATATCAGTACCCTAGAGATTTCTAAAGAATTTGGGCGAAAATATCAAGACAATACCGATATTGTGAGTTCTAGTATCGATATTGTTGGGTGAGTATCGATACTCTATGAAAATGTTTGAAAATTAAAGATTCTAGTAAGTCATTTTGGTATCGGTATTCGCCTTAGTACTGATATCCTTCCAATGTAGTATCGATACTCTCATGGGAGTACATATACTATTGAGCTGAAAATGAATTGCAAGACTATGTTGATAGAAAAAAAAAGGAGAAAAAGAAAAGAGAAGAAAAGTAAAAATAGTTTGATGATATATATATATATATATACACACATATATCAATTTGTGTGAATAATCATAATCATTTCGGGTGTCTCGTACGAGATTCCTGAAGGATTAGAGCGACTTGCACGGGAGCGCCTAATCATATGTATTTTGGGTGACTTGCACGGGAGTCCTAGAAAGTTAGAGTGTCTTGCACTGGAGCACCTAATCATGATCATTATGGGTGTCTCAGATGAGAACCCCAAAGGATTAGAGCGACACACATGAGAGCGCTTAATCGTATCTATTTCGGATGTCCCACACGGGAGTCCCGAAGGACTAGAGTGTCTCGCACGTAAACATCTAATCATAATTCTCGATAGAAATATTTGTATTATTCGAGAAATTGATTACGATGTTAATAATGTAACCCCCTCAGACCGATGCGGGTAACCTGATATGATTTGGAGTGTCATATTAGGGCCACTGGAGCGACTCAATGTAAAAATAGCAGAAAATTTAAAACTTTTGTTTAAACTTGTAACTTATAAAATGATTTATTAGTATGCAAAAGTAAAACAGATTTTCAGACTCGTATATAAAACAAAATACAATTACATGCCCCCTAATCAAATGTACCGTACTCTGCAAGCAACACCGAAAGAACTCCCTTACTGAAGTTGATAACTGCACTGGTACAATTCTTTTAACCTGTAATGGTGAGTAATAGAGTGAGCTTCGGAAAGCTCAATAATACATAACTACCAGATGATGCTGAAGAACATGCAGATACAAATAAACATATATTTCCTTATCGGTTCATACATCTATAGATCTTTACGTTGAGCGGAAACTAAACTGATATTTCAAGTAGTAACAGACAGTGAGCTTTCAGTTCAGAGAAATATTTCGGGTGACTGAGTTCAGGAGATCATAATAGATTATCTAGTGTGTTCCCACAAAACCAGTGAAAAGATACAGATCTTTTTAAAATATATTTTTAAAATTCAAAAACCATATT